AGCAGGACAGGTGAAACCCCCTGCCTCCTTAGCCCAGTGCTGGGTCAGGCAACTGGAGCCAACACCTATAAGTGTATCAAGAATAAAAGAATACAAAGGGACCCCATGCAAAATCCTCCAAGTGTGAAATGACTCCAAAGGGATAACTAAAAATGGTAAAGAGCTAACCAAATTAATGCCTCGTACCAATGCTTTGTACCTAACAAGAATCTACGGAGAAAACAGTTAATACGAATGGACAAAACCTTTCCATGCTATGTGAGACTTTGGGTATGATTGATTTAATATATGTTAACCTTCCTTCGAGTGTTTTTCAGATCTGAAACCCATTTAAAAGATACCTGAAGAAGCAAAGGCCATCTACAGATGTAAGATTCTTGGGAGTTTTATGGTAGGGTAAGATGAAGACAGAGACTCCCAAACTATACAACTGTTAAGAAAATCTACAGTACCAGGGGTGTGTTGCCCCCCTATGAGCTGTCGGTCAGTGAGAGATCCTAAAGGTCCTCAAATTCATCAAAGCTTTTGCCACTAATGTTGGTTGTACACTTGATAGGTCAGTAAGATCATGTTGCTGAAGATGCTGTATGTTGTGAGCACAGGAGGAGATGGAGCTGAGACTAAGCCAAAACGCTCAATGCCACTGGATAGAAGATGTTCATATTGTCAGAAGGCACTATGCAGATGATTAGCGAAGAAAGGATCCCCTATAATTCTGCTCAACAATATACCCCACGTGCTGCACACTATGGACATGCCAAGCAATGCCTGCAAGTGCAATAATGGCTCGACCAACATACGTACAACTGACAAATTTCTAATTGGATAAGGCCCACTCCTATGGGTAAAACACACATCTGGTGCTCTAGACCAGGCCAATGCCTTGTGTTGAGAAAGGCTACAGGCCTTAGCGGGTACAAGTATACTGTTTAATGAATATAGTACTCCAACAAGGATATATTCTAGGCCTTTTTAATTACATTCGTATTTGTCTACTTCCTTCTATTTGTCTTTATAGTAAAAGAAACACCACTGATGTAAATAAATGGCCACAACAAAAAGATGAATAATGGTGAGGCCCAAGAAGTCATTATCTCACTGTGATAAAAGAGAGATCGTACTATATCTTCACCCCTCCAAGGCTCAGGGACCTTAGCAGAAGATTGGCAGAAAGATTGTAAAAGTGGAAGAAATGCGTGGAGTGTGTCCCAGGCATCTGATTACTCTGAGGGGCAGGGACTGCTGCAGAGAATTGACTGCAAAGAGTTAACATGTAGGGAGGGGTTTGTGGGATCCATCTTGGGACAGAGACGTGAGCCACCAGAGAGCCGTGAGCCACCAGAAACACGTGGCGGGGGGTGTGGAGAGAAAGATGGCCCTGGTGCCTACCCACATGGACACAAGAGGGGGCATTTACCAACCTGGGGTGAGACTGCAGGCTCAAGATGCATGGGCAAAAGTTAACGGAGTCTGGGAGCAGTACCGGAAGTGATCTGAAATGGCAGGCCGAGCTACACATAGCTCAGTGCCAGGTTCTTATTTTTTTGTAAGTTCTTCCACTTACCACCTCCCTATCCAAGATATAAAATTAAAAATTCACATAAAGATATGTTATATGGCTTATCTGATAGTGCAAGAGGACCTGAGAGAACTTGGGTGACAGAGGGCTTGTTAGTAACACCTTCAGTTCGTGCAATTTTCATCCCTTAGCAAGCCAGAGCTCTGAGGGCTGACTGAGCTCCAGGGGTTTTGGACCTGTTCCCTCCAGTGGCCCAGAGTTTGATATGCAGGGAAGTGATATCTAGCTCCTTGCACCTCCCGGCCACATCCTAGGCAGCCCACTTGGCTGCATGTGGAGAAGACTGATCTTGGTCAGCCTTCACCTTCATTCTACCAGGTGCTCAGCAGATGATTTCCTTGCCAGAAAGATCAGTGACATGGAAAAAAGTATCATTGAAGAAAGCAAATATGTGGCAGAAACCTGAGATGTTCTCTCCTTCAGCCACGTGAGGTCCAAGGCTGATGACATTCTTCCATCTTCTCCCAGGCCTTTTGAAGTGCCATGCCTCCATATGGTCTCCAGACCCCACCAGTGGAAAGGGGGGTGTGAATTTTTTTAAGAGTGCACAGGGTAGTGGTTTATTTACAGAAGAGTGAGCACCCCATCTTTATGGCTGCACTATAAAGTCCACACTCAAATACATATCCTGTGACTTCCCGACAGCCACACAAAATTGTGAGACAGGTGCCCCTTGGTGTCCTCAGCTTATATATACTTTGTGCCTCCCACCCGCATGCAACTAAGGCCGACTGACTTGGTGGGAGGGGTAACTGACTCCCTCCTCAGCAGGCTGAGCAGGGCTTAGGAGCAAGCCAGTAAGCAGTGTTCCTCCATGGCCTGTGCTCCAGCTCTTGCTTCCACATTCATGCCCTGAGTTCCTACCTTGGGCTCCCTGATGAACTGTGACCCAGGACAAGTAAAATAAATATAGCCTTTCCTCCCCAAGTTGGCAGTGGTAGGAGTGTTTTGTCACAGCAATGAAGAATCAAACTAGGACATCCTATACACAACCTCCATTCCTGTGGGAGGAAAGGCTGTTTATCCTTTATGGCTAATAAAGCCATCTGCATCTGCTCAGGTCAAATTTCATTTCTATTTCTTTATTATGTTGTCTTTCATCCTGAATTCTAACAAATTCCATTTAACTCATAAAGGAGATGAGTAAGTTATGATTTGGTATAAGATAAACAATGAAAACACAATGGGGCATTTTGAGGGAAATGAGTGTGAACAAAAAACTCGCACCAGAAATGACAATGATATGAATTGCAAAACTCAGAGGATGCATAGAACTTGGGAACACATAGGTAGATAAGATACTTTGATATTTTTTTCAAGTGCTAAACCCAAGAAAAATGGTAACACATTCCAGAACGTCTTTGTATGAGAAAAAAATTATGGAACTCTATCCAACAGTTTATACAAAAGAACACACAAAATTTGTATGTTATGCACAATATTGAATTAAATTATTTTTCACAGTGAGTAGAATAATCTGGTAATTTCTTTTAACAATAAAATAACAAGTCTTTAGTGACTTATAAATAAGAAAGACATCTGAGTAATAAGCTGCTGGTTTCAACTGAATAATCCCAAAGCCTCACTTTGCCAAAAAGTTTTAAAATACTCTAAGTGATTTACATCAATAAAACAACATATTGTCGATGTAGTAAAATAAATATTTTCATCTCGATTTATAATATTGAGGTTTCAAATGCAAAACAAAACAAAAAAAGCAGAGAAATGTAATTAATAAAATTCCTTCCAAGAAACAAGTACATTCATACTGCAATGAAATTTCTACCTTTAGCCGCAAATGTCTGGCGTTTAATAGATGAGGAGGGATGTGGACATGGCAGCCCACACCTGTAATCCCAGCATGTGGGAAGGAAGCAGAAGCTGGAGGATTGCCACAGCTCAAGGCCTGCTTCTTTGGCATAGCAAGTTCCAGTCCAGGCTGAAGTACATAGCAAGATCCTCTCTTCAAAACAAAACAAACAAACAAAAACAAATGTGGAAAAAAATTTAATCTACATAAGCAGTCCAGAAAAAGTTGTATCACTGGCAACTGACAAGCAGGTATTAATGGAGTCTCCCCTAAATCCATTGTTTACCTATTATGTAAACTGGGAATACATATAAAAAAGATTTCTTGTATAGCTGTATTAATTCAACAATGAACCTGAAAATTTTGTAGCCAATTTTGAAAGAGATGTATCTTTGCTCTGGAAACTGTGATTGAGTATGTTAAAGCTATAATGAAATGGTTCTTCTAATAAAATTAATTAATTAATTAATTAAAATATATTAAAGGATTTCTTGACATCACCAAAGTGTCTTGAGGCTTGCTGAACCACCTAATCTCTCTCTCCACAAAGGAAAGACAGTTGGGCCCAACTGCATGAGAGTCTTCTGTGTCATCACAACCTCTCTGATTCAAGAGATGGCAATGGGCATGTCCAGACCTGAGAAAACAGCACACATCTGGCCTACAAGGTTGGGGAGGGGGCTTGGTTTCATATCTATGATCCCAGCACTTTGGAAGTCTGGACAGGAAGATCAAGAGATCAAACACATCCTCCACTGTATAGTGACTTGGAGGCCAGCCTGGTCTATGAAACCCTATCCATCCAAAACCAAAAACAAGTCAAACAACCCAAAATCTGAGGACTGTAAGAATAAGAGAAGTCATATTGCTTCTTTTAACCCCAAGTTTGTGGTCTTTGTTGGTGCATTCCTAGGAATCTAAGACAATAAAACAATATAAATTTGAAATTTTAGTTAAAAGTACAAATATTTTAAAAGGCAACAGTTACCAAAATTAACAGTAGATAAAATGTCTGACTAGCCCTAAGTCTGTTAAAGAAATGTTATTCCTAATTAAGTAAATACCTTCACACAGAGATTGCCAGGTCCAGATCATCATCCCACTAATAAACTTGATCCATGATTGAACAAAATAAAATATTAACTCTACCTAAAATTAAACTTTCAAAATGTGGAGAGAAGGTAAATACAACTTCTAAATAAAAATAAAGCCAGTATTTTCCCATATCAAAACCAGAAAATTCTTTCTAAAAATAGGTAGCCACATGGCTCACATCTGTCTGTAACTCTAGTTCCAGAGGATCAGTGCATTTCACTCCAGGGTTCTAGACATGTAAAGTGGAACTTGTGTCATTCCAAAACTAGTGACATAGATCACTGAAAAGAATAAAATAATTCACACATTGACCCAAACAGTTACCATCAAATTATTTTATAGAAAGGTACCGAATAGTTCAGTGTAAGAAAAACAGTATTTCACCAAATACAGCAAACACCTAGAGAGCCATGGGGAAATCATTGTGAACTTCATTCAACACTTTGCTCAAAAACACTAACTTGAGGGGCTGCAGAGAGGGCTCGGTAAGAATGCTCCCTGCTCGTTCAGCGGACCTGAGTTCAGTTCTCACACCCATGGTGGGTGGCTCACATTTGCCTGTAACTCCAGCTCCAGGAGATCTGAGTTCCTCTACTGGTCCTCTGCAGCCACCTGCATATACCTGATAAACATGTTCACAGAAACACACATAAGTTAAAATATCAAAAAATTAAAATAATTAAACTGACATTGGTATAAACTAAATATGTAAATCAAACATAGAAAATGATAAATCAGGCTTCAAAATTTTTAAAACTTCTTCAATGGTGTAGTTCAAAATGTGAAGAGGCAAGATAGTATAGGAAAACAGATTTATTAAACATGTATCTAACAAAGGATTCGTATTGAAACTGCATAAAGAACATTTACAGTGCAGTAATTAGAAGACAGATAAACCCATCCAAAAAAGAAGCAAAAATGGAAAGGCACTTGACAAAGAAAAAAGACTCAAATGACAAATAAACACATGAAAACATACTTCTCAGTGATGAATGGGTCACAAAATGAATCAAGAAGGAAATATTTTTAAACTCCTGGAAATAAATGAAAACACATTACACCAAAACTTCTCAGGCACATAGAAAGGAGTCCTAAGAAGGAAATTTATATCTCTAGTTAGCTGCATGGGAAAAAACATCAGAAAAAGCACAAATAAATAGCTTAGTGATGCACCACTAGTGTTTTGGAAAATTAATACCAAGCGAGATTGCACAGAGGAATGGCACATAGCAGTAGTCAAATTCGGAGTCCTCTATAAGCCAGTGGGTGGTCAGAGAGGGGGCTCATGACCAAGAGAACTCTTGACCCCAAGGAGAAGCAGGGCAGGACTTAAAAAGCTTAAAAACACAATTATATCATGACAGGGGTAAAGCCAATAATCATAGTTACAGCAGATCATCATAGTTACACCAGACCAGGGGCAGGTCAGTTAACAAAGAGGTATACAATTAACAAAAAGTTTTGGTTATGAACAAACCAAGTTTCTCAGAATGCAGAAACGGTAGGCTCCATAGAGATGCAGGTAGAGCTGAGAGGGGGGACGTGCTATCTCGACCTTCTACCTGGCTACTTGTAAGTTTCTCAGTATTGTAGAAACAATGTACTACTGGAAAATACCTGCATGAGACCATCTGCCTGGCTGGCTGCAGTGGGAATGGCTGGGCAAAAACACAGGGTGAAGTAAAAGTCAGCTAGCAAAAAACGGAGTTAGTTTTGCCATTTCAGAAACAAACCCAAACCAAGTATATGGGAAGAAATAATAGAAATAAGGGCAGAAATTGATGAAATAAAAACAAACAAAAATTAATGAATCTAAGAGCTGGTTCTTTGAGGGAAAAAAAAGTATTACAGACCCTTAGCTGAGTTAACAGAAAGATAGAGAAAGGCCATGCATGGTGGCACATGCATTAGATCCCAGCACTCAGGAGGCAGAGGCAGGTAGATCTTTGTGAGTTTCAGGACATCCTGGTCAACATAGTGAGTTCCTAGCCAGCTGGAGCTACAGGGAGACCCTGTCTCAATAAGACCAAAAAAAAAGAAAGAAGACACCCAAATTCATAAATTAAAAAAAAATCACATTGTGTGTGTGTGTGTGTGTGTGTGTTCCTCAACAAGGTCTCTCAGTATCCCAGCTGAAACTCACTATATTATGGAGACCAGCTGCTTTTGATTTCACAGAGATTTGCCTATGTCTGCCTCCTGAGTGCTGGGATTAAAGGAATGCACTACCACACCCAACATAGATAGATAGATAGATAGATAGATAGATAGATAGATAGATAGATAGATAGATAGATAATAGATAGATTAGATGGATGATAGATAGATAGATGATAGATAGATAGATAGATAGATAGACAGATAGATAATAGATGATAGATAGATAGATAAAGCAAGAAAGAACCTTATTGATTAGACATTATCTATCACAGATATCTCTTTTCAGAGATGGAGAACCACCCTGGGGAACTTAAATGACTGCTTAACACAAAGTTAGATAGATAGATAGATAGATAGATAGATAGATAGATAGAGGATAGATTTATGGATGATAGAAAGACAGAGGATAGATAGATGATAGATAGATACATAGATACATAGATAGATATATAGATGGATGGATGGATAGATAGATAGATAGATGATAGATAGATACAGTGTTGGATAGCTTTAGTGTTAACTTGACTCACCTGGGTTGAGGGAGACTGAATTGAGAAATTTCCTTCATTGGAATGGCCAGTGGCCATGTCTGTGGAGCATCTTGATTGTTGAATGATGTGGGAGGGCCCAGTCCATTGTGGGTGGTGCCACCCCTGGGAAAGAGGGCCTGTGTTGCATAAGAAAGCAGGCTGTGCAGGAGCCAGGGGAGCAAGCCAGTAAGCAGTGATCCTCCATGGCCTGGGCTCCAGCTCCTGACTCCAGGTTCCTGCCCTGAGTTCCTACCTTGGGCTCCCTGATGAACTGTGACCTGGGAGATGTAAGACAAATAAACCATTTCCTCCTCATGTTGGTAGTGTCAAAGTGTTTTTTCACAGCAATTGAGAGACAAACTCAGGTAGATGATAGATGATAGATAGATAGATGATAGATAGATAGATTTTATATATTTATATATGTATATATTAGGTTTAATGCAGTTAACACACACAGTCATAAGGCAATCCCTGGGAGCTATAGACTATATAACAAAACGTTATTGCAAGGCATTAGATACCTCCCTTAGGGTTATTGCTCAGGGACCTCCAAGATTTACAAAACAACATAGGCGATGGACTTGCTCTTGGATGCCTGACACAACATCAAGATAAGACCCTGTGGCTGAAGACACCACACACTTTGGTCAAAGGACCTGGAGAAATCAACCAAGTAATGATATGGAACCCTTTCCTTGAGAGCTGGCTCTCATAGTGTTGGAAGGTGCTGTGCAAGATGCTAAGGTAGAAGAGTAACCAATAATTCTACCCAGCCATGAAGCCTCCGAAACCCAATGACAGGTCTGACAAGATAACCCTGCTGTACAAGAGTGGCACTTGTACTTTGGAAGCAACAAGCAACTATCTAACTGAACCTCAAACCCCCTCACTTGGAGGGAACTAATGCATGGTAGTATAAAACTAGCCAAGAACCCATGGATGGAGATGTTATCGGCCCTAGAGTAGAACCTTTCACTCCCATATCTTCCAGCTGCCTTTTAAATTCTCATCCTTATAGATAAACGCAGCTCTCATATCTTACCAAAGTAGTTTCTTTTCCCAGCTGATGAAGACTGGTAGACAGTTCCACAACTGTTCAGAATGGAGAAGATAAATGACAATGGGGAGTCCAGCCCCAAATGGGACATCTATAACATCCTCTATCCCTAAAATTAAAGGAGCATCATGCAAAAAGGCGGGCAATAAAAGAGCCAGAAGCCTAAAACAATTGCTGTGTGATAACTTCTTATGAACAAAACGGGAATGTTGCTCCAATGAACAAGACATACAAAGGCAAAGCACTCATCGACACGCCAACACGGATAAAGATATATTTGACAGGACACACCCATAGATGTAGAGCCCCAGGCAGTCGGGGGATGCCTATGGAAGGAGAACCATTTTGTTTTGGTTTTGGTTTTGGTTTGGTTTGAAGAAGTAGTTGGAGGAACAGGGGAGAAATTGGAGAGGGAAGAAGTAGGTTGAAATGATAGAAATGATGTGCACATAGTGTGTTCATGTATGAAATCCTCAGACATAAGGAGGCATGATTTTTACAATGTCAAAACCAAAAAAACAAATCATAAGTAAATAACTGTTTATCACCACATATCGCTATAAAGGAAATCAAAAGTGAAAATACTACATGATTTTGAACTTGGATGAAAAAATTGACTGTGACATACAGTATAAATAAAATTGAGAAATATGAATATGGTTATGGATAACAACATATTACAACATTGGTACTGAATTTCTTGGATTTGATCATTTTAGTATAATTTTATAGGAACAATTGCTTGTCCTCGGAGACTACGTAGGTACAGTTTGGGTATTATCATTATTATTATTATTATTATTTGCATTCATTAGATAGCTTCTTACTCTATAGTCCAAGATAACCTCAAACTTGCTCTGCAGCATAGCCTGACCTCAATCTTATGCACCTATAAGATTACAAGGCTGAGCCAGCACACTTAGCTGGCCTCAATAAGTATTACTGTATTAACAACTGGTTCAGCAAGAGATGAGCTAGAGACCATGCAAAATATAAGCAACTTATGATTATGTTTAAGGCTTGTTTGAGAATTCCTTGAAATATTTTTACAACTATTCATCAAGTTTGAAATTATATTTTATGGAAAATAAAACAAATGTTTTGAAAGATGATGACATTTTCTAAATGTAAAAACTAGCACACAGTAACCAAAAAATAAACAGAAACACTGGTACATTGTAGTAACCATGTCATTAAAGCCAAAAGGTATTGAAATGATTTATCCTCTTGTAATGAAATATCCAAATATCAGAAGTTTTTATTTGGTTCTATGGGTGGCTCAGGACACAGAAAGAGCGATTCCTCAGGACCTTGGAGCAAAGGATGCCCACCCTCCAGACAAGCTGTTTTGTGTCCTCCAGGAAGGAAAATGGCTCTGATCTGGTAAGTCAGATTCCAGAAGGTCATTACCTTCCTCCTCCAGCTCCTCTCTCTGTTTGCCCAGTTGACTAAATCCTGTGCTCAGAAACATCTCACTGTGAGCAGTCACAGACTACTGCAGGAAACACAAAAATGACAATGTTCTGTGTTTACCTTTCCTTCTTGTTGCACACTGAATCAGATAACGTGTCCATTCTCTTTTCACAGATGCATGGGTAGGTTTTACCACAGTCACTGTTGTCTATTCTTGTTGAAGTAAAAAATGCACACTTTCCATCCCGACCTTGTAAATTCAATGCTGGTAAATCGCTGTAGAACAAGAAACATAATGGGCATTATTTACAGTTGAAGCTTACATTGAGGTAAACTGTCTTCTTTAAAAAAAAAAAATCTATTAGCAAAAGCCAGGAGTGGAGGCGCACGCCTTTGATGCCATCACACTAGAGGAAGAGGCAGGCAGATCTCTATGTATTCAAGGCCAGCCTCATCTACATGGGCACTTCCAGGCTAGCTGGGAGACAGTGTCTCCAAAAGACCAAAAAATATATATATTTATCACTGGTCAAAATTTACAGAATATAGAAGCATTAATCAGAAACTCAACACTGAAAGATTTTCTTTTTCTCTAAGCTCATTAAAAAGAAATGCCACTTCATCGCTTCCAAATCCTAGTATAAAATAAATATATTTAATATCTTTCAAGACATAAATGACAGCAGATCAGACACAGTGAGACAGACCTGTCATCCCAGCCTTTGGGTTGTAGAGGAAGGAGGACCAGGATTTCAAGGCCACCTTGCTCTACATGAAACCCCATCTTACAGCAACAACAACAAAATAATAAAACTTAAAATCAGTTTTAAAAACTAAAAAGGGAATTTGAAAATATAAATAGTTAGCAAAGTTATTTAAAGACAAACACAGAATTCCTAAGAACAAAACTATAATTATATTTCTAAAACAATCCATAAATAGTTTTATAGAAGATTAGAAGCAAATGTGAACTTCATAATTTACATGGCTGCACGTTAAAATGGGAAGTATAAATAGATAAGAATGTGTGTAAATGCATTTATTTGAATATTTGTAAATAAACATAAAAACTACCTATATACCTATATGTGTCACATGAATGTGGGGAATACTAAAACTCATATCTGTCAGGATGATCCAGTCACTTCACATCACTTTAAAATTTTTATTTGGTTTGACCCTGTGCATCTTAGAACTTACTTCAGAGCTTGTTAGGCATTGTATTGCTTATATTGCTATTAGGAGACATAAGCTTGTTTCTCTCCTTTTTCAAACAGCTTGCTCAGATACTTCTTTATTCTTCCTGTTCTTACCCCTGACCTCCATTTGAAATGAGCAAAGCTGTGTGAAATTTTAGGACACTCTTATAAGGTCCTTTCAGCTCCCACACCAGTGTTAGAGTCTGAATGGTTCCACAAACTCACAGGTTAGATGAGCCACTGTCAGTCCAGTTCCATTTCTTCTCCTGTTTATCATATGATAATCCAATCCAGTAACTGGTTCCATTAACCTGGGACCATAGGAAGTCCTGTAAAGGACATAAAATACATCTCATGATAAAGTTCTCGTCTGTGAGCTGAGTAAACAGAACAACAGGAAAGGGAGGGGCTGTTCCTGTCAGTTCTCTGCTGCCCTGTCCTCTCTCCCCTCAACCCTCCATTTTTCATTTTCTAAAGTGATTTTACATTGGTAGAAGAGTTAAGTCAAAATTGGTATCTATTTCACAAGTAATAAAAGGTAAAGTTTAGGTATCTAACAATTCCTTAAGCCATTTGTGACCGTGACTTCTCTTTTGAGATGTGCTCTCACTCTGTAGCCCACTCTGGCCTTGAATTCTCAATCCTCCTGCTTCCGGCTTCCAAGTACACAGGCAAATCTGCCCATTATATGATTCTGATACTTTAAGGAACCATTTAAACTCTTGTTCCAGGAGAATAAGGGCTGTGGGGAAGTGGTCATTGTGTCATCTTGCGTGACAGGAGGGATCATCAAAGCAAATTAAGGTCAGCAGTGTGTACGAAAAAAGTGCATCAAAACTCCATTTTTCACAAAGGAAACATTTCCGTTGTTCAATGTCCAGACCACATAAGAACAAGGAAAGGAGAGATGTTTGTGACTTAAATGTGGTATAATGTGACTGAAATATATTATCACAGTGCCATGAAGTCTAAATTACTGATTATTTTTAAAATACAGGTTTTAATTTAACAACATGACTGCATCATTGGAAAGTTATTTCACTATTTGTGATTAATAATTACTTAATGTTATAATTTTTAACCTCTATTAAATTTCGGATATTTTCGCCTTTCATTTATAAGAACATCGAGGTTTCAGGATGATCCTTGCCAGTTATTCTCTATAAAAACACAATCTGGGGCTGGAGAGATGACTCAGTGATTAAGAGTACTGACTTTCAGAGTATCCATGTTTATTTCCCTGCACCCACATGGCTGCCAACAACTGTTTGTAACTTGAGTTCCAGGAGTTCTTGACCCTTGTCTAGCATCCTTAGGCACTGCACGTATGGGTACACTTACATATATGTAGGTAAAACACTCATACACAGAAAATTAAAATAACTAAATATTTTTTAAAACATACATTCTATTTATTTAGTAATAAAATTAACAGAGAGTTCGATATCAAAGCCACTATATATTCTTTTTTAGTAATTCTCTTTCAAGGATAGACAACTTTATAAATTACTTAAGAATACTGATGAGGTAAATGTGATGGATGGATGCAATGAATACTGGTAAAACTGTCATGACTTCCATAGTCTTTACTATCATGTCTGTTTGCAGATAGAACCACAGAGGTCAAGTACTTTACACAGTAACTGGCTGGTAAATAACAGAGACTGACCACTTCCCAGCAACTTCACATCTCCTTTCTTGATAGTATCCCAAACTTTTGTCTGTGGGGTTTTAGTTGTCATTCTGTGAAGATAAATAATTGTTGATGCCAGGCTGAATTTGCCAAAGGGTTAAACTTAATCCAGTGAAAGCGTGCATCTCTGTGAGACTCTCCTTTAGAAGGAAGGCTACTGCAAAGACCCAACTGCAACCTTATTAACCGAGCTTATCATAACAGATGCAGTGTGAAGAGTGCTAACAAAGTAGCAGGCCAGAGTCTCCTGGGAGAACTAACTGCCCAATTTCTGCTCATATTACAGAAAAAAACACACAGCACTTGAATGGTGTTCTTTCTAGACTCCTCCCTGGCCTCAGCATCTTATTTTCCAAGGGTAACAGAGTCCAAGAAAATAGTGCATTTAAAGTCTACAGTACCCGTTCATCACGGTCATCGATTTTCAAAAGGGATAAACTGCATTTGCAGCAAGTCTGCGTACATCCATTCCATGTTTTACTGTCCATGATAAAATAATAACATTTTGTGCCAAAACAGAACCAATGTCCTTCAAGGCGTTTTCCTGCAACGTTGAAGGTGAATCGTTAGACTCTTATCTGGTATTCTGTTAGTCAGAGCAATGAGTTTATTAAGCCTCTATAACTAAATAAAATCTCACAACTCTTAAAACTTAAGCTCTTCTCATATCTTATAGCTTTCGAAAATCAAAATTCTAGAGTGGCAGGAGATCTCTGCATTCCCATGTCCCATGCAACATTGTTTATAAAAGCCAACATATAAAAAATTCAATATATAATCATTGATAAATGAAGTATACCTTCATAGAAGAATATTATGTAACATTTAAAAGGAAGAAAATCCATCTGGGAATGTTCAATCATACCTATAATCCAAGCCTAAAGCAGGAGATCATCACCATTTTGAGTCTAGCCAGCCCAGGACACAGAGTTAAGACCCTGACTCTAAACTCTCCCATAAAATGAGAAATCCTAACATATGTGAGAATCTGTATGAACTTGAGAAAATAATGCTAAGTGAAACAAGCCAGGCACAGGATAATACTTCATGATTCCATTCATAGGAGGTTTCTATCATAGCCATAATCTAAGAAACAGAGGCTTAAGACACTCTGTACTAGAGGAAGGGACAACTGGACAGTTTTAGCTTGACAGTTTCAGTTACACAGGATGATTAAATTTTAGAGGTTTGCTGTAACAGAAAAGTTGTCCAAACAGTATGTTAAGTGTTCTTACCATAAAAGGAAAAAAAGAAATAGATGATGAAGCATTTGAAGAAGTTATTCAGTTTTTCTGATTGTGGTGATAGTTTCACTGGTATGTCTGTATTCCCACACTTACAACATTGAATACATTACAGTATGTGCCATTTTCTGGAGCAATAATACCACAATAAAATTGAGATAATTCTGTGTGATGCTTGGGATAACAACAGTGTACTAGTCGACTGTGTGTTCAGCCCTTGTTTTCCTAGGTGACAAAGTAGCTCAGTCTGGTTTTGAACTTGCTCTATACCCCACGATGATCATAAACTTGCAATCCTCCTGCCTCAGTTACCTAATTGTTCAAATTATAGCATTATGCCCTTTTATAAAGATAATAAACATACTGTAATGTATTCAATG